GCGGCTCACCCCGTGAACACCAGGCACAGCAGGGTGCAGAAGAGGATCAGGACCTGGTTGAACATGGCCGACTGCGTCCGCAGGATGGCGCGGTGGAAGTCATTCTGTGGGGCAGGCGCCGGTGGCAGAAGCTGGGACCTGCACGGAGCCCAGGGCCCTCCCCTGGCCGGGACGGGGTGGGGCGGAGGACACCGGATTGGGGGTCCTGCACAGCCAGAGGCCCTCCCCCGCTGCGGGAGGGATACAAAGCGCCGCTGGCCGTGCCCCCTGTCCTCACCGGCACCTTCACCCTCCTGCTCTCCCAGCCCTTCCCCAGGGCAGGAAAAGGGCGGGTCCCTGGGTGATGGGTGGCATGTTTGGGGGGGACAGGGAGGGGGCGGGGCGCTCACGATCATGTTCTCCAGCGCGTGCTTGGCCAGCCAGCAGTTCAGGAACACGGGGATGAACAGGTTCCTCAGCGGCGCCCATCCAGGATGAAGGACACACGGAAGATCTGCTCCCAGATGTTGCCCTAGGAGCCGGGTGGGCAGGACGGGTGGGGGTCAGAGGTCAGGGCGGGTTGGGGATCAAAGGGGATGATGGGGGGGGCTCCGGGCAAGGGCCGGGCAGGCGGGCACTCACCTTGTAGCTGAGGTAAATGAGCAGCATGGTCTCCAGGAAGCTTATTACGGCCACGATGACCTGGGGGAGGGGGCGCCTTAGAGGGGGCAGGGCCGGCTGGGCGGGCAGAGCCCCTCCCACTCACCTGGGTCACCCACAGGGCCATCTTCCTCTCCACCCACAGGATGGGCGCCCTGGGGAGAGAGAGGTGACCTGGGGGGGCGTCCAGCCTGGCCCTCGAGGGAAGGGAGGCTCCGGGAAGGAGGCCTCCAGGCAGGTGCCAAGGCCGGGGCCAGGGCTGCCCGCCTGCCGGGGGGCGGGGGGCCGGGCTGCAGCTCTGAGGGCCCAGGTGGCCTGCGGGCCCATCTTCCTCTCCCCGGTCCTGTGACGGGCCCTTCGCATGCACAGCCTGCAGGACCACTGCGAGGTCAGGTGACACGGGAGGGGTTCTCGCGAGACACTGGCGGCCGTGGGGGTGGAAGAACCGGGCGCCCCATGAGGCTGGAGGCCGAGGGCTGAGCCCTCATCAGGGAGGACGGCAGGGAGGAGGCCCGACTCGAGGTGGCCATGCCCCAGACACGGCCTGTCTCCCAGCAGGTGCCCCGGCCCCTCAGGGACCACCTGGCACTGCCTGCTCCCCTGGCTCAGAGCATCATCGCCCACAGTGTCTCCCCCCTCGGCCCCCAC